TCAAGCCATAAGTACAAATGCAATAATTATTTAATATGAAAAAAATCTATTTTCTATGAAAACTTGGTTTAGTTGTACAAATAAAAGAATATGGATGATTTAAGATACTATTCATTTTGGGTTTGTTGCCACAACGCTTCTTTGAATGCAAAGTAAACCCCCGTTGAATTTGTATCTAACCTCTCCCGCACCTGTTGCGTATTTGCGTCCGGACTTTACGGAGCCAGTCCATGAAGCGCACAACATTTGCTTTCCTTTTTTGCCAAATATATTCCGCACAGATTAGTACTATGCATTAGATAATTATCTTCTGATAATAAAAGTCACGGCCAATACGTCAAAGTTCACTTGGCATCAGATGATTAATCAGGATCTGGTTCCACTTTCAGCTTTCTATTATACCATTTATCAAATAGATATATCAAACACCTTCACCACAGAAACAGACTCAGATCAAAACACCGTCTCCACAATGATAGATGGGATAATGCCCAGTAGATAATATCGATCTCCTATCATTTTCCTCACACACTGCATCCGCTTATAAATAAACAGTTCAGATTTGGATTCATCAGTCCACATAGATTTCCCCCGCACATTGCCTAAATTTAGGTATTTTTCTGGCAAATGAGAGCCGTCTAGGTTTGTGTCCATTATTTGCGTAAGGTATTTTTTTTTGCTGCGAAATTTTGCAATAATCCAAAAATTATTAGCAAGAAGATTTGACAGAGAATTATTTAGGATTCTTTATGATAATTTCTGACATTGCAACTGTTAAGTATACTTTCCATATTAGGGAAGGATATTAGCAAATGAAGAGTCTATACTGGGTGAAATATCACATGGATAAGGAGAGAAAATGAATTCATTGAATATTCAAAAAACGAAATGAGAGTAAAAAAAAGGACATGTCACCTTACGAGAAGTTTTCAACCTTTATATTGAGGAAATTATATATCCTAGAAAAATTAATTATAAATTGAAGAATTAATTTCAATACCTGGAAAGTGTTTTAAAAGAGCAAGAAATATGTGTCAATAAAATCGGAAGTCGCATTGCGATAGCAAATGATTTCTTCTAAATGCTAATTAAAGTATTAAGAAACGAAAATCTCATTTGTATCAAAGGGCGAACTGAAAAATTATCTAATATCAATCCTCCTATATTGCAGTGAACGCGGGATGAATTCACAGATGGCGAAGATGTTTGAATCAAGATAATTGTGGGTGTACAAAAAGATAAGCATGACATAAAGCAAACATGTGAGCAACGACAATGTTTTAGAGAAAAATAATCTAAATTGATACAGTTATTTAACAGTAAAAGTTGCATTGAATTTCTCCAGGCATTTTTATCCACAATGTGAATTTAGCTTTAGATCGGGAGACAGTTCAGTTGCCACAGTCTGATCGTCAAGAATTTGAGAGTTGCGCCTGTATATCATCGTATCAGCGGTATATATGTTTACAAATCATTTGTGCAAATTGGCTAGACCGAAAAGTGAACTATAGAGGATGGATGGCGTATATCTTATAACGTTGAGTTTTTATATATATATATATATATATATATATATATATATATATATATATATATATATATATCAACGTTCACAAAAAAATTCGATGCATCAGCTAATAAGAATGGGTAGATGTCTGATCGCCCAGTAGACAGAAAGCCTAATTTTTACGTATTTACTTTTCAGAAAAATGCTATATATATATATATATATATATATATATATATATATATAAATAAACACATTTATAAAAGATACTCAGACACACATACATACATAAATAAAAATGTAAAGAGCCTATAAAAATTGAAAAATATACCTATCAAATCCCCAAGTCAAATTAATTAGCTACTCAGTTTTATTTCACTAAACAAAAATGTAATAACAGAACAGACGAAAAACAGAACATACCTAATAAAATTCAGATAAAACATTTAAAAAAAATATAATCTTTTCTTAAAACCTTCAAACATTACTAGTCACAAATATATTACAATTGAAGACACGGAAATCTACAAAATTCCGTCCGTTACCTTACTGTAGAAATTACAAGTATAATATCCTCATCGACATGTGTAAAAGACTGAAAATAAGCGAAGCACTAATAATAAATGAATGAATACGACACTCATTATAAAGAATTATGAACACGAATAAAATGGCTGAATGTGTTTGGAAAAGAAAAAGAACATTCCTTTTACTCTATATAAAAATTCTAAATATTCAGTTAAAGATAAAAAGTAAAATTAACAGACTTGATAATGGCTTATAGCATAAACAAAACCTCTTGAATAAAAAGAACATAAACATAGATAGATAGATAATATTAGTGGTCAATAATATATATATATATATATATATATATATATATATATATATATATATACAAGAGGATGGCATGCAGGTAGATGACAGAGGAAGAATATAATATAAAAGACTCAAACACTAATATTACATGGTTATAATTTATGACATTGGAATAATAATCACGATGCAATTCATTAGAATTACAAATTAAAAAAAAAAAATTGAACTGATTCAATTTTCTTATCAAATTGCGAAGTGAATGTTACCCAGAAGTGAAATGCATCTGGATAATTTTGCATTAAGGCCTTTGTTATAAAGGGCTTTATAGCTGCAATTACGTTCTTCATAGTTTTCATCAATGGACATATTCATGACTTGAGGTTGTAACTCGGTATCTACGCTGATGTCTAACTATTTAATTCTGTTTTTATAATAAGTCTCATTAGGTCAACTTGGTACTTAATCTAAAAAGAGAGCTAATATTTGCTTTTATCTGGGTTAAGCAATTGAATTAAAACCTCCAAAATGCTATCTATTAATTATTAGTGAAAACTGCCTTACATCAGCAGAGGTGATGAAAACCTCCAGGAGAATGGCTTATTGAGATTTCTAGTGCTATTGTTCTCTGCTGACTTGAAGCGGTTACAGTATATTGAATCAATTGCTAGGTCTTCTGCTAGGAAAATTTGGATCGTGGTGTAAATCTTCCTAATTTTTCGGTATCTAACTATATCTATGCTCTCACATCTGTTCTGATAAATAGGCTGTGTTTAAAAATTCTTTTATAAAATACAAACATGAATATGCGATGTTATTGTACCTTAGCTGGCATCTCGGCTTCAATCCCGTTACCACCGCCGTCTTCACTGTGACTTTTCTACAAGTAATTTTATGGTAACTGTTTTAAAGATATTTCAGCTATGGTAAGAAGAATTTATGAATTTAAGTCCAGTAGTAAATGGGCAAAAGTTTTCATATTTTACCAAATGGATTCTTTAAATATATTCGACTTTGTAAATCACTTCCGGCTTCATGATTCCCAGGCAACATTTAACGTCAAAAATTTAAATGAAATGTCTATTTTATTCCGCCTTTTCCATTCTTCTCGCTAAGTAATAATGATTTTATAAATCCCTATTTATATTAAAGTTTATAAATATAAAATTATATATATATATATATATATATATATATATATATATATATATATATATATATATATATATATATATATATATATATATATATATATATATATATATATATATATATATATGTATGTATCTATGTATAACGCACATTCAGTGATAGTGTTCATAGTGTAGTGTCCGATATATATAATGGCATAGCTATAATTTATATTAAGAACAAATATATAATTTTTCCACACCGGTATCGCAGCTCAGATTTTTATGCATAAAGCAATTGCTAGGCACTGATTTAAAACTTACAGTTGCACTATTTAAATATTGATATCAATACTATACAATAATAATATTGGAACAGTTCATTTTATTTATGCTGGTGAAAAAAAAAAAATTAAAATGAATAAAATCATTAATAGAAGTTATTGAATGTTTATTCGTATCCATACATTTATATTTTTGTAATTTACTATGGAGTGAATGTTGATATTTAGATAGATATAAATGAATTATTGTTTCTACAATACTGTATATCTAGGTAAAGGAGAATGATTATATTTTTGTATTTGTCATGATACATCTCTGTATATTTTATTATATTTAAACGTTACATATTAAATTTCTTTAAATTTATAGTTATATTTCTTCATACGAATATGTTGTTTTTTTATATTTTTTTATTTTATTTTAATTTTACATATTTCAACTGTCAGTTTCCAGTTAGCAACTGATGATTACGTTATGCATGGATCTAAATGCTATGCTACCCCGGTTGACGAAAACATTCAAGGATTCTGTCTCTCTCGCACTCATTATCTCTCTATTCCTTTCTTTCTCACTCTCTCTCTCTTATATATATATATATATATATATATATATAAAGGCAAAGATATAGATAAATCTAGAAATGAAATACACTTTTTTTTTTTCAGCCGATAAATGACTAGAATGTTCAGAAACCTGTGTAGAAGTAAACACAAACAAAATGGCCACAACTGAGAAAAAAGAAGAAAAAACAGAGATAAGGTTGGGGAATGATAGTAAATTGAAAAAAAATATCGAGGAAATGCCAAATTATCACAATACTCTGCAGACGAGCGCATAGACGTACAGAATATATATATATATATATATATATATATATATATATATATATATATATAGAGAGAGAGAGAGATAGATAGATTTAGATAGATATATAGATATAGATATATAAAGAGAGAGATGTTTGTAAATTAAAACACCAAAAAATCGAAATACAATTGCAGTCTTGTTTCGACGCATATCAATGTGTCTCCGCAGGCGATTGTAAATTTCTGGCGGGTGAACGATTAATTTGGTACCAAAACAAAATACATCACTTTTTTTCGAAAAGAAAGAGTTTATGAGAGCTTTACCCTGATCAACCCATTGAATATGATTTAGGATCAATTCAAACTAATCGGAAAAAAAATAAATAAATGTTTCTTAGAAATGGGTCATGACCCGGAGTTATTGTTGGAATTATCCTCTATTCTTTCTGATCTCACTCGAATAGATAGATAGATAGATAGATAGATAGATAGATAGATAGAGAGATAGATATAATTAGTATGAGTAAAATTTGTCATTTCGCTAATTAATCCCAGTTCGAGAGTTTCCTAGTCCTCAAAAGATGTATGCACAATTTTAAAAATATAAATTTAGTGTTTATTAAAATGCAATACATTTTCAAAATTTAATATATTCTACAGACATTATTTTACTGATCGCAACGCGAATCAATGAAATGGCAAACACCACCAAAAATTTCTTTTCGTATTTGTTGTGCATTTTTCTTCAATTGCTGCTCACAGTATATAGCGTAGACGTTGACTTTTAAGTATCCCCTTAAAATTTTTAAGAATCCCCAGAAAATTGTAGTAGTGTGAGGTCTGGTGAACACAGAATCTATTCTCCGAAATGTCTTCGTTAATCCATCTGATTGGCAACATCTAACTTCATGATGTCAGTGTAGTGTGTACCCTTGTGGAAAATAACACTACTCAATTTCAAAGTCCTCTTTACGCTTGGCATGAGAGACTGTTGCAGCAAATTCAAGTAAACAGGACAGTCACAGCAGCGTGAGAATAGAATGCCCAATTAATCACCATAATAATAAAACGTACGACACTGTAACTCCTGGTAAATTAACATGGTGTTTCATCATGATATGCGGATTCTAAAGTCCCCAGTACAGGCAATTATGGCGCCTAATTGAACCATTTAATTTAAATGTGACCTCAACACTCCACACAACCTGTATTCGAAAGTGTGTCTTCTACACATCGTACCAAGTATTACTTGCAATACTCAAAGTTCAAAGTCATCGTTATTAATAGCATGGACTAATCCTAGAATGAAACTTTCCATTGAAAAATTTTCAGATTGCGTAGGACATTTGGTGCTGAAATATATATCTCACGACTCAGTCATGCCGTACAGTATTTCTTGGGCTTTTGTGATATGTTTTCAATACGCTTTCTTGCTTTGTCGGGCTTGTCGATGATCCTGTTCTTACGGAAAGCTTCTCCTGGTCAGTCTGAATAGTTCCATCGTCTTCAAACATATCCCTCTTAGTGTGAGGGCAATTCGTGTTTGTGGATCTCTTAGAAAATCCCACCTAATCTGTCTTTGCAAGTCAACTCCATTTTCACACTTAATGTAATAATTTAGAATTAATTTCCTTTCTTCAAAGCTGTCATTAATTCTAATGTTATTAACTCGGAAACAAAAAAAACAGTTATGGTATCAGCTGTTAATGTGTGTATACATTTTGCGACACACACGTACACACATACTCACTCTCTTTTCTCTCTTTCTTTCTCTCTCTCTCTCTCTCTCTCTCTATATATATATATATATATATATATATATATATATAGAGAGAGAGAGAGAGAGAGAGAAGAATCCCCAAATTACCTCATAACTAAAGTATGAGATAATTTTTGGATTTCTCTATTCTCTATTATGCATTTTATATGATTGATATAATAATTACAATGAGCTCTGTTTGCAGATCACTTTTAATATTTTATATTATTAGGATGCACTTGGTTTTATATACCAACAGACTATTACATTCATACATACATACATACATACAAAATATATATATATATATATATATATATATATATATATATATATATATATATATATATATATATATATTATGCAGTATTAATGTTATGTCTTAAGATCAACAATGACTTAGCAGCACACAGCAGTTTTATTATAGTTACGTATAACAAATATTGACGTGTCTGGCTGTTTACAATACATGCAAATATATAATAATTATACACTGATATATGTCAGTTGTTTAACAATTTTTCAATGACCAACCTATTTTATCTTATTTTCTAGAACTTGTAGCCTTATTGAAGATCACATTTATACCACAGCATAATTCCTACACATATTCATATACAACTATACCGCCATTTCCGAGTAGAATAAATAAATGTTTATGCACATACAGTAGTATATAAGTATCCTTAAATGATGATAAAATATAAATAAAAGTTTTACTCGTTCGATTTGATCCAGTAATTGTTTTTACTCAATATCATATAATTTCATGACAAAGTGGTTCATATCTGTAAAATATATTCTTTTTACTCTTTTATAAGCGATCCGCAGTAATTTGTTATAAAAGAGTGTGCGATGGTTCCCAATAGCATAGTCTTTTTGAAAATGATTCAAACTACCCTTTTATTGAAATTGTTCTCTCCTCAATCTTGTTGGCTATATAAACGATAGATGTCTGAAATCTGAAGAGAAGGATTCGTGCCTTTCAAAGTGCAAAATTAAGCCCAGTGCAGGCGACATCTTGAATTTATCATGGCGATCATCTAAGCGTAGCTTACATGTGGCACAAGGCCTAAAGCATTACTTACCCCGTGAGGATAAAACCTACGATTCAGTCTTAATTGATATCGCGAGTCAAGCTTGCTAACCATTACACTACGTCGAGGTGCTCTTCTTGAATTCAATATGTCGATTAAA